TATGAATGTTTTCAAAATTTTCTCTCTATTTCAAATTCCACAAAAAAAATTTCTATCCGCTTCGTGTTATTAGTGTTTCGTTAGCGTTGTTGTTGCTATTCTCGGTGTTACTGCAAATTTGTAGTTGCCAACGTATCTATTGGTGATCAGAGAATTTTTCTTGTGTTTTCTCATTAATCCTTCGTTCATGTTGATCTATTGCAATTTCTGTTACTACACTCACCATTGCTACTGATAGTGAGATTATTTATTAGTACTATTGTGATTTCATACGCCAGTGGCCAGTTGAAGTGACCATGGAGTAGGTATGGTTTGTTGGTTGGTACTTTGGATGAATTTTTTATGGTGAATCTTCAATTCTGAAATTTGCAGCAGATCGTGGGAAGACTTAATTTTCGGGCCAGGATTATTTTTGAGAACTCGAACTGTGTCTCAAATAATTTTCATGCTCATGCACCCGTTCTAAATTTTGTTTTGTTTCTAGAATAAGAATGCGATCTCAAAACAATATTTAAGTGTGTGTGTGTGCTTTGCTGATTGATGTTTTAATGTTTATTTTGTGCATTCAAAAATAATAATGTCATTATGATGTGTTAAAAAATGACCGAAGTGATGTGTCAGTAATCGATATCACTCGTGATTTATATTCAACCCTTGATAAGTGTATTGTAAATTTCACCGTTAAAATCAATATGACATCGGTAACGTTACTATCACTGATGTGTTATTATTTTTCTTATCGCTTTCACTGAATGGAACAGTGATTTCGTGAAATTAACTCATACCTATTGTTGTTCTGATTCTCGATCTTATGTTACAGTATTATTCATTTGTTGTATTGTTCGAATGACTCGCATTCCTCTTGGAATGTCCACATTGTTCAGCATTGTCTTCATCAATTCACATGCATCTCATATGGCAGTACACTGTATTCCGTTTCCGTAGTTTGCAGCCTCCATTAGAAGTTGTACTGATTGCATGATAAGGTGTGATAGTATCGTGACGATTTTTTTGAACAGTCTTCGAATTTTTTAAATCCTCATCCTTGAAAGTATTAAAGTCGTTCTGTAGAAATGGATATTTCTTTGAAAAAATATGGAATTTCTATGATTCAAAGTTATTGATGGAATCTGAATAGAGCTGTTTGTAGTAGTGTGTTGCGGAGATCGGGGAGTTTCGGGGATTTCGTTCCCGATTTCCAATGTCCGTCTTTTTCCCGTCCTCGTAACATACTAGTTTCTTGCACATAGCAGCGTACACGTCCCTGCTATAGACGAATGTATTGGCGCATGATCCTTCCCTCTGCGTGATCAACTGCGAAATATTGATGTAAAGTGAAACGGATCGGCTCAGCTACAGTGTCATGTCATGTTAACAATTTAATTTTTCTGTACATATTATTCATGTAGAGGGATATATCAGTGAATGCTTTCTGTGTTCTCAAACAGTGGGATATCTCTTCACTGATATCACATGACTATTCAGTTCCTTTATGATCATGTACGGAAAATATTCATTGAACAGACGATTTGCCATTCTCATTAAAATTCTTTTGTAAATATAATATATTGGTTCTCTAGATGCTTTCGTAAACGTATTCTCTGTGGCGGCAAATGACCACACCGATTGACTGCGATCAACTTTAATTGTATTGATCTAATCACAAATGTCATTTCTCAACCGGTTTTAATCTTTTATGTGATTGTGTTTCAATAGTTTCAAACGAGAAGTTTTGATTGAATGAATAATGTGATCATGGTGAATATTCCTTTTCTCTATTCATTAACGCTTTACTTCTTATTAAATTCGAACGTTCATTTTGCTTTCGTTTAATCAGTCTTACTGGAATATTCTCAGAATCATACTATATATGCATATTGTACATGCTGTTCGGATATGACTCGAGTTCCATAAATGTTTTATGCATTGCGATATACAATAATTCAACATGAGAATTGTTCACGATCAAAAATACAAATACGTCCTATCGTGAAAAATATAATCAATAAAGCGTACGTATATGATCAATCTCAGTGAATAAAATGGCTAGTTGTTCACGTACAAGTAATGTTAACGAAAATAAAACTGCAACAAATAAATGATGTGATCGTTAACCAGAACAAAAACGAAAATATGTTCTGTAAGAAAAACGGGATATGAACTAGAAAAATTGCCATTTATTGAAATAAGAATAACTGTTTAAGAGGTTTCCTAGAAGAACGAATTAAATATTGTCCTGAACGAACTTTTTGAACAGATAATGGTACACATTTTATGCGAATGTTCATCGTTATAGATGAACATGCTTTTAATCGATGTTTCTCTCCTTCAGTCAGCCATTAATTGGTTTTTTTGTGGTGCCTTTTGATGAGGTATGGAAAAAATGAATTCGTTCAAAAATTATTCGACTCTCTTCTCTTCAGCCTCGATCTCAGCGATGCGTTGTTTATGACGTTCGATAACATTTTCGTGTTGTTTGGCTTGTTCTTGATGATGTTCAATTTCTTGTTGTATTTGCTCGCGAAGAGATTTCAACTGATCTTTTTGCTGAAAGTTTCGAAATTTTTTCTGAATATCGATGACAAATACGAACAACCATTCGTTTTGAGTTCTTTTGCAACGACAGTCGTAGTCGTGTTTTATTCTAGCTGCACGCGATGGCTTTTTGATCTAGTCTTTTCGAAAGGCTTTGAGATTTTGTGGCCTAGGTTTAATGGATCCGACCAAGTCCGTGCGTTATTGTTAAGCTTTCG